ATGATCCCAAAAAAAGCTCAGCCCAAGAATATCAATGATATCGTCTATAGTCTCATTGGTGCATATACAAACTGTTATCAGAGTTTTGGCTAATTAATTAGCAAGTGTGCTGAAATCTATCATCAGTACTGTCAACATGCGTTTGTTAACGGGAGACAGATTACTGATGCCATCTTTATTGCTAATGAACTTGTGGATAAAACCATTCGACACGATAAGGAAGGTATTTTATGCAAACTTGACACGGAAAAGGCTTTTGATTATGTTCATTGGAATTCTCTAGATTATATGCTGCAAAGAATGGGTTGTGGTGAAAAATAGAGAAACTAGATAAAATCTTGTGTCACTACAACCAGCCTTGCTGTTATAGTGAATGGCGGACCTTCCTCTTTTTTCACTGCTACTAGAGGGTTGAGACAAGGGGATCCTCTCTTCCCCTTTTTATTTATTATTGTAATGGAGGCTTTCATCAATTACTGAAGAGAGCTAAATCTATTCAGTTAATTAAGGGGGTATCTGTGGGAAACAACGCAAGATACATTAAAATTTCCCACCTCCTCTTCGCAGACGACCTGCCCATATTCTGTCAACCTAACACAAGTCATTTAATATTTCTCAAATGCATTCTGATATGCTTCCAGGCTGTGTCAGGATTAAAAATTAATCTACACAAATCAGAATTAGTTGACCTGGGTTGCTGCAATACTGGAAATACATTCTGTGATATTCTTGATTGTAGAAAGTTGACCCTTCCCATTACCTACCTAGGTATACCTTTGGGAACCAAGAAAAATGACAAAAGATGTTGGGAACCGGTGATTGAAACGTTCAACAATAGATTAGCCACTTTGAAGAAGAAATTTATGTCCAAAGGAGGTAGATTAACACTCATAAAGAGCACTCTCTCAAATCTGCCTATCTATTATCTATCTGTTATTAATATTCTCATAAATGTTGACAAAAAATTGGAAGCCATCCAATGGAATTTTCTATGGGGTGACAGTGAAAACAAGAAGAAATATTATCTGGTTAAGTGGTCAGATGTTAAAAAACCCTTGAGGGAAGGTGGATTGGGGCTGAGATCCTTGATTAAATTAAACAAGGCCTTGTTTGGGAACTGAATTTGAAGATTTTGGAATGACAACAACAGTTTATGGAAATTGGTTATCAACTGCAAATGGTTTAAACGCAATCTTCATGATCTTTCACACATTTAGAACAACAACTATGGTATTAGTATGTGGAAGAACATAATTAATTTGAATGATGTTGTTTTTTATTGTTCTAAGTGGTCTATTGGGAATGGACAAAAAATCTGTCTTTGGGATGATATTTGGTGTGGAACTGAAAAATTCAAAGATAAGAACAAGCATGCATCTGTTTGGACGTTGCTGGTTCGGCCTGTCAAGCTTCTTGGAATGTCCCGGTCGCAAAAAATCTTAATGATTGGGAGTTGGAAGATTATGAATCTCTGCTGCTTACATTGGCCAGCATTACTCTTATTAATAGAGATGACAGATTAATTTGGAACTTCAAAAAGAATGGATTTTTTTCGGTCAATTCGTTGTATTGCTTTCTGGATGGTCAAAAACAGAATATTCAAAGAACTTTTCCATCCAAGAGAATATGGAAATCTGGTGCTCCTCCAAGGATGTCATTCTTTGCTTGGGAGGCTGCAAAGGAGAAGATACTTGCACTTGATAATTTGATGAAAAGAGGCCACACTATTGTTAATAGATGCTTTCTTTCTAAGGAAAACTTGGAAATTTGTAATCACCTCCTTTTGAAATGCCTCACTATTCGGAATCTTTGGAACATGATCCTAGGGCTGTTGGGGGTCTCTTGGGTAATGTCTGAAAATGCTAACTCGGAATTAATGGCTTGGGAGGGTCTAGGCAGCAGCAATAAGTTCACCAGACTCATTCTTCTTACTATATTTTGGGTCATCTAGAAGGAAAGAAACAAACGAGCTTTCGAAGGAGTCGAATATGATTTATCGTCATCAAAGATAACTGGTTTAACTATTTTAGCTCTTATATTTTAGGGCATAATCTTGATTGTTTTGATGATTTAGGTAATATTGTAGATATGCTCATCGAGATGTAAATTTTATACATTGGGGGTGCCCCCTTAGCACCTTTTGATATTAATACTACTCTTACTTTTATTTAAAAAAATAATAATAAAATAAACCATTAATTACATTAATTATATAAAGGGTATTTTACCCTAGTGCTCTTTAACCTATTTATATACTCCCATTAACAGTATATTTTGTTATTTGTTGAACATACAAGATTGTTTCATTTATATAATCAGCTTCTTCTTTGTCAAGCATTTCATTCTGGTTCTGATCCAGTTTTGTGTCTAAAGCATCACCAAATACTTCTAACATCCTGAAAACATGTGATCTTCAACAGAGCTGATGTATTAAGGGAGAACACAGAAGCTGTGTTTGCGGCTTGTGATGCTGCTCATGGGAGATGGGCAAAGCTCCTTGGTGTCCGTGCTCTCCTTCATCCAAAGTTGAGATTGCTGGAGTTCTTAAGCATATATAACATTACCCAAGAGTTTATTACTGCTACTGAAAAGGTTATACTCTTTGATATTTCTCTGTTAAAAATAAGAGGACAGAATTTTATTTTACTAATGTTTACAGTGCCATTATGGTGGTAACATTATAGATTGGTGGGCGGCTGGGGTATAGCATTAGAGGAACGGTGCAGTCACAGGCCAAAGCCTTTGTTGATTTCCAGCATGAATCTCGAGTTAGTTTCTATGATTGCAAAACTTATTGGTTGTTTAAACGTCAATTTATTCAGGACTGAGTTTTTTTTTCTTTTATTTGGTGTTGGTAGATGACGAAAATGAAGGCTGTGCTTGACCAAGAAACATGGGCTGAAGTGGATGTTCCTGATGAATTTCAGGCCATAGTAACTATGCTATTATGTTCTGGAACATTGATTTCTGGTGATACCGGGGATGGTCAAGGTAAGATAACGGACCCAAATTATGACATCTCAAGCAATGATAAGTCTTTTGTGGCAGACACTGGGCCTCAGAATTCTGAATTGCGAATTAAGCAGATTGATTCAAGTGAAATATCTGTACATAATACTGCTAAAGTTAATTCCACATCTTCAGCTGAGGCAATTGAAAGAAATAAAGCTGATGCTGAGCCCCATCCAGCTCCAAGTAACAATAGTAACACAAAGGAACGCGGAAAATCTACCTCCCAAAAACTTTTCTATGGAGGTGTTGGTTATCACATGGTAAACTGGTTAGTTATCTTTGTTTTCAGTTTTTATTTGTGTTGCTCTCAGTTATCTGCTGCTTCTCAGTTATCTGCGGCTGCTTCTTTGCACTCTCGTTTTCGTTATTTCTTGACATTTTATTCTATGTGCAGCTGATATTTCTCTAGTTCCATTGCCAGTGGCTGCTTTTCCATTTAATTTGTTTATTATTCTCCCAAGCTGCTCACTAGCAGTAAAATTACATCTTCTGAGCTAATATTGTTCTTGCCTTTTCTTGTCTTGTATATCTAGAATATTTAGATTCTCATTGTCTAAAGTTATTTTAATATCATTTGGCATCCCTTTGATTCACCTTTGATTATGGAATATTTCTATAAAATTGATGTGGTTCATTTGTGTTTTGGGTTTCCTTTCAGTGGCTTAATGTTACTGAAGATGTTGTCAGAATACATTGATATGAACAATTTTTTGCCAGCATTGTCTTCAGAAATTGTTCATCGTGTTGTGGAGATTCTGAAATTTTTCAACACGAGGACGTGTCAGCTGGTTCTAGGTGCTGGTGCAATGCAGGTAAAATGTCTCTGTATAATGTGTTGACTCACTACTTGGAGCATTAAAATACTGACTAAGAGATTGAAGTAGGTGGTTTCTATTATCATAACTGTTCTCTTCTATGTTCATGTGTTCCTGAGTTAATATTATTTCAGGCTTTTTGATGCAATTATGTGTCACCTGGGAATTATATTGCCAATCATTTCAATTATTTGTCGAGCAAATTATGGTTTGCTACCTTGTTGTTTGGTGTCTTTTCAGATTCAATACATGTGATTTATTTTTAGCAATTTAAATACTAGAGTTTTGAACGCTAGTTAGATAATAAAATATCGTTAGTTTCAACACATGAACACACTTAATTTTAAAAAGTTTCACATACAGACATCCCAAATTAGAATTTCTATCCTTCGAAAACAAAAATTTAGAAGATATAAAAATTTAAAGTAAAATAAAATTAAAGAATAAAATTTAAAATACAAAATATTTTTAAAAAATCTGGACTGAAGAAGTTCCAGGAAGTTTATGTATATAAAAACTGATAAAACTTAGTTTTTTTTTTTGTTTTTAATTTTGGAAAATCTAATATGAGCCATCTATTTATTAAATTTTTTAAAGTTCAGACTATCCATGCCTTCAAACTAACAATCTTATGTTACTTGACTGAGGTTAAACCACAAGTACTGAATCTACTAAAAATAAGCCACATGTACTGAAAATGAAATATCTCAAACTACAAGGTAGCAAGCTCTCCTTTGCCTTTAGTTGTTTCATGCCAGTATGTTGATTTTGATCATAGACACTTGAGTGCCACGATATCTGGGTCTAGTAAGTTTTGTGTTTCTCTCAATTCTTTTTTTCGTAGTGAAGAGAAAATGGCAGAGTCGTACTTCTTGATGTGATCTGTGCTGATTAGAATTCTTTTCATCTTTTAATTTGCTTCTTCACTGGATTATAGGTGTCAGGTTTGAAGTCTATCACTTCGAAGCATCTGGCCTTGGCTAGTCAAGTCATCAGCTTTACATATGCTATTATTCCTGGTAGGCAGTGACAACTAACTGCTCTGGTACAATATTTATAGCCTTGACATGTTTGCCTGACCAAATTATGCCTCATATTGTTTGCCTCTTGAGATATCTGTGATTCTGCATAATTCCTAGAGCAGTTGGAGGTGTTGATAGGATATTGTTGTAAATCCATCGATCTTCTATCTGAGTATTAGAAAATTAACATTCCTAAAATTATGTGACATCAGTTAGAGAATTTCATTGATATATATATAGAGAGAGAGAGAGAGAGACTTGATTTGATTTGCTAATTGGATTCTTTTTTTTTTTTTTAAACAAAAAGCTATTTACCCGCATATATGCTCATTTTCATCGTACAAGAAATTCACTTTCTCCCTAATTTTCAAGACAATGTCCTTTTTTTGGTGCAAATCTCATATGAACACATGGATGCTTCCCAATATTATTTTTCTTACTAAGTGAAATTTAGAGAAAAGCATAGTCCTCGTGCACAGATATGTTGGCACATATCTGTAATCGTGTGAACTTCTCAATGAATTAGATTTCTGAATCTTGTACGGAACCAAGAACCCTATGGTCCTTAAGTTGTACCAAATTATTTTTGTTTAGGATGATTTGGGACAGCATATGCTATTGGAACATTGTTATACCTATGTTTTTTATCTACTCACTGTAAGCATGAAGCCGCAAGTGAGGATTTTCTTGGTAAATATATGGATTTGCCATAGAACTACATGTTGTGATTTGTAGTTTATTCTGTTGGTTGAGTTAAACCATGTCTACGACAGTTCCTGAGTTTGTTTGATGATTTCTTGCTTTGCATGTCTAAGAAATCCGGAGAATTCTTTTTCTGAAAGTACCTGAGACACGAAAAGCATTATTGTCGTCAGAGATTGATCGAGTAGCTCAGGTACATAATATTTCTGCACTTCTCACAAATGCTGTTTACATAATATTTCAGCTACTGTATGTAAAAATGTGTTTTTGAAGGGGGAAAAAAGAAACAGCACAGGAAGAATGTATACATGTACACGAGTGATTAATCAATTATGGACACTTTTGTTTCAGAATGCCTGTATAGGTAGAAAAGATTTCTAGTTGTCTTAGGGCTGCTTTATTGTTTTATAAGCCACAAATTTATATTCAGTGTTTTATCTCATGAATTCCACTTGAAACATGTTCTATCTAAAGGTTTGATGTATTTCTTTTTCAGATCAATAAAAGAAAACTACTGTTCTTATAAATGAGAAGAAAAAGAATTTTTTTCTTTCAGATAAATAAAAGAAATTTATTCTTTAAAATGAGAAGAAAAAAAATCTTTGCTCATAATGGTTTAATAACTCAAATTTCAGGATTACAAGATTCACCGAGATGAAATCCACACGAAGCTGGTTCAGATAATGAGGGAAAGATTGTTGGTTCATCTGCGTGGTTTGCCTCAGATTGTTGAGAGCTGGAATGGGCCTGAAGATGTTGATCCACAACCTAGTCAGTTTGCTCGATCTCTAACAAAGGTGAGTGTTTTGATTTGACTTTGTTAATGTTATTGACCAAGGTGTTTCCCAAAAGAATATTGACACTATAGTTTATCATACATTCTTGTAGTTTCTCGTGATTAAGCATTATTTGGCCCTTAAAATCTCAGGCCCAAGGCTTAGTCATTAATACAATATTATTGAAACATCTTGGGTTTAAGTACCATTGTCCCTTTATTTTTCAGACCCAACAATATCCCTCAATAACTCAAATTGTTGGCAGCATATGGCTTGAGCCTTTAAATAGTGTTCAACAGTATTATATTGCCAAACTTTAATTAACAATCGTAAACATTTTCGTTTTTCTTTTAAAAAATCACATAATTTTCAATATAAGATTAAGAAATCACAATGTCTGTCTCTGAAATCCTTGATGTTCTTGTCATTGTCATACATTATAATGAAAGGCCTTCAAAATCCAATACCGCATCAAAAAAGAGTTTCCAGGTTTGGCACATATTCTAATACTATTTGTAATTGACCAAAGTCTTATTAACCAAATGACTTTTCAGGCTTAAATCACTGGTCCTCAGATGCTGAAATTCAAGTTGTTGCTTAATGCTCCTATATGTTGTTTTTTTGTCTATGGAGTATGTAACTATGGGAGGCACCCCCTGGTACTTCCTAATAGATGCCAATAATACTTGCTTTTCCAATAAATGAAAGAAAAAATCTTGAAATTCAAAGATTATGCTTTGAAAGTAGTCTATGAACTGGAAATAACTGAATCAATATCGTAATCAGCGGTAAGATATCTTATGCTACAAATTGGACAATTTCCAAAACTACTTCTGTTGAAAACAGAATGCTAATCTTATGCTGAAGAAGACTGCATGGCAGATTCTTCAGTGTGTTGAATAACTGAATGATCAAAAATTTTTCATCCCGGTAATGGACAGGGAAAATGATAGGCAGGAAGAATTAATAGAGTTGTGTAGCAGTAGCAACTGCTGATTCTATGTTATTATATTATGAAAATATGGGCTGTGGAAACTAGGAACTAAATGTGCTTGCTATACATTCAGTTGATTTTTGATAATTGGATTTCACATGACAGAACTGAGTAGGTTTGCCCTATTCAATTATGGAACCCATGGAAGTTCCATCACAGTTCTTCCACCTTGGAGTACTTCATGGTTTTAACTTAATCATAGACTGATTGCAGTAATTCATGATCATCCTGACTTTTTGATAACTAGATATAGCTTGATAAATATCTATTAGCTTCTGAACCTAGTAAATAACAGCTTACTGAAAAAAATGCTTGTAGCATTCTTTTGATTTGAATATCTTTTTCAACAGCTTTTTCTTTTTAATCTCTAATATTATTTAAATAAAATTTTCTTAGTAACTTTCTTCATATGAATTATGATTGATCAATCAAGCCTGATTACTTATTGAACATATATTAGGAAGTCGGCTACCTTCAACGTGTTTTATCTCGAATGTTACATGAGATGGATGTTCAAGCAATTTTCAGGTGAGATATCTTCAGCCTGTTAGATTAATGTTAAATTTCCTTTTTAAAAAAAAAAATAAAAAGTATATAGTGTATCATTGGTATACAAGCACCAAAGAGGTGCCAACCCGTGTACAACTTATTTATATATTGGCAAGAATATCAACAAGGTCTCCTAAATCCTTCATTGAATATAGAGAATAACCCAAAACCAAAAACCCAAAGTCTGGAACCAATGTTAAATTTTCCCTTATTCCTTCGGGGTTTGTTTTTTCTCTCTTTTGGTTGTCGCTGAAGGTAATTAATGATAGAAGTTTGGGGTGCATTTAAGAAAATAGCTTCTCCTTCAGATCTGTCATGCTACCTGGCAAGAACATCGAGTGTATATGTAGCCCCCAATGCTTTGGTGGAGATTTTGATTCTATTTTGTCTGATAGTGCACAGATGGTATAGCTTTTAGCAGTATTAACCTCAATATTCTTTTATGCATTAGTAGATATTTGCTCCAATTCTAAGCAATATAGAGCCACCAGAGCCATTTTGCACACGACTTATTTCTAAAACAAAATCTAGTCTTTCACATGAAAATCTTTTACCCTAAACAATGTATTTTCATAGAGAACAGATGAAATACTTTTTATGCTGAAAAACAATAATTCCTGTGAATGTTATTTGTAATTTACAGGCAAGTTATCATAATTTTCCACACACAAATTTCAGAAGCATTTTCACGCCTAGAGATAAACACTCCACAAGCAAAGAAGAGGTTAGTTCTTTTTATTATCCTATGTCCAAAGAGCCATTTGTTTCCATTAGAAATTAGATAGTAACCAGTAATTCTCATCTTTTATACATATACATATGTGTATTAGGTTGAAGCAGGATGTTAAACACATTCTTGGATGCATTCGGTCACTTCCTTCTGATAATGTTACCAGTACATCTGGCATCCCTAATTGGGGAGAACTGGATGAATTCTTGGTGCAAAAACTTGGAACAGTAGCTGATTGATGTACGTTATTGTAAAGTAGTTAATTGATTGCTTCCTTGATGGAAGGCTAACCACAGTTGGAGGGAACATTTTAAGATGTCAGAAACAAGTCTCAGAAAATGCCCTTACATTGTAGAATAATTGAGGTAATGAGGATGAAGACATGCCTTTCCTAAAATGTTAATATGTATGTTATATGCATTTCTGTTTTTTTAATCGTCATAAATGGTTATGAAAGCAAAAAAGATGAAATTGAGGTGAGTGGTAAGTAGGAAGAAGAAGGAAGCTTACAATTATATGAAATTGTTTTTTCTTTTAATTGTTTGATATCAACTTTGGACTCAACTTGTGATATTGTTTTATTTGTTTCTGTTTTTCCTTGATGTTACTGTTGTTTGGAATTTTGGATATTAACAGTTTCTCGCCCCTGTAGACTTTTTCCTTTCTTGAGGGTTGGAGTTATTGGATAATTGCTATCTAAATAATACAATACCATATTAATGGAGCATTTAACCAGAGCTGCTTTTTCCTTGCTGCCACATGAGTGAATCTCAATAGAGTTGACTATGTAAACCTTTTAAATATCTGTACATATTCTAGCATGCGAGGTTATAAATATAATAAATTCAATTTCATTTTGTTCCATTAGTTGTCAAAGCTGTTGGCATTGGAAATTTTGTCATGCATGTTTTTCAAATTCATCACCTCTTTTATAAGCAATGGTTGGGAGGATTTACATCAGAAAGGTCTCAAGGGGTGGAGCATTCATTTTTATTTGTAAGATGATAATAACAGACACTTCTGTGTCAGCTGGAAGGATCACATCTTTGTCTGCACATCTAAACTTTAGAAAGGGGAATTCTGTTCTTCTGCTTGGGCTGTGGTCGCACACTCCACCTTTCCAAATTTTCAGTCAAGGGAAGATAAAGTTTTTTTTTGTTGTTTCTTGCCTTTCCTCTAGTTCACTTCAAATCCGGATGAAAAAACAGATCAACTTCCTGGTTTTGTCTTTCTTGGATTTAGGAGTTGTAAAATTTTTCAAAATTAATGATTTCTCTGCTGTATTAATTGCTTGAATTTGTTTAGATTGACCTGCTTGGTTGCGTGCTTGCATGTTAATTCACATGTATATGTGGTTTCAAGTCATTTAATATTTGCATACTAGTGAGAAGTATTTTCTTTTTTCCTGCAGGTGTATTTATCAGTCTCCGGTGGATAGATTACATACTGTTGACGCACATTCTAAGTGTTGCAGCTAGAAGTGTGTTGGAGCTGGAGTTTTGTGCCCCTTGGACTTTGGCATGTTAGTTTGTAATTAGTATCTTCCCTCGACATCATCTTGTTCCCTTGATGTAAGTCTCGGGTTGAAGGTGGAACATATATATTTTCTATTTCCAGTCGACAAACCGATAGAAAGGATTAGTTTACAGGACAGCAATCTTCATTCTCTAGGTAATTGTGTTACTATTTTTAGCCTATTATGGTACACAGTTTTCATCCTTATCATTTCTTTAGCTGATGTAAATCTTTTTTGCTTGGGAGGGAATCCTCTTTGACTGCCTGAAAACTTCACGGATCATGACAAATATTTTCCATCTAACTGTCACGGTTCTTTGTAATTTGTTATTCTATATAATGGTGAAACGGATCTTTTCCTTTTTGCTTTTTAATGTTTTAATATAGTTTTCTTTCAAGCAAAATAAACATTTACAGCCAAAATGCCCTTTTTGGGTGCTGTAAATATGGGTGTGGAACCATGTTATCTTCTATTTTGTCTAGAAATAAACCCAAGCGCTCTACCGTTCAATAACAAAAACAACAAAAAAAAAAAAAGAGTTCTTTATGCTTCTCGGAGTCTTTTTTGATAGAATTATTCTCAGAATTCTAATTAAAATTATTTTAGAATTTTACTTATTAAAATCTACATAAAATACGCTTGAAATTGAATCTGAACATATATTCATAATGTATAAAGCTTCATGTGCTTATAGATGTTTAAAAATTGTGTTTCTAATGGGGTTATAATAGTAAATGTTGGATAAAAGAAAATCAAAATGTAGTACATCTCAATCTAGCAATTGCTTCGCACAGTTTTAAGGTTATTTTTGTGTTTGAAAAATATTTTTGTAGTTTAATGGATTAGACGTAAATCACTTTTGGTAATAATTAAAGATAAAATTTACTTTCAATAGATTTTAAACTAAAAGTAATGTAACTTTTAAGAAATAATTTTAATTTTTAATAAAATTTTCTATTTCAAATCTCAAAATTATTTTACTGGAAATATACATATACTCCATATATATATTCCCAAATCCTCTTCGACAGCACCCGTCTCTGAGATCAGCCTCCTACGCACCGAATCTACTTTTTTTTTTTTTTATACTCCTTGCAGTGGGCGACCTCCAGCTTCGTCTTGCTCTACTTATCCTGCTGGTATGTATGTATATAAATAAATAAATATATATATATATATATATATAGGGTAAAATTTCTATTACCCGCTAAATGCTAAAAACAGAAGGGTAAGATGCAAGTCTTTGCAACATCCCCAACACGTCGACAAAACGTCCGTACGAGTCGTACGAAAAACACGCGCCGCTCTTTGTATCCAACCGCATTATTCCCGGCCTGGCGCCGGAGCGGACGGAGAGCAGGAGCGGCGTCGACGGGTCTGCCCGTCTGCTGGTACTCCTCCCCGGCTTCTCTCGATATTGGATAACGTGTAATCTTTCGGGCAATCCCTGTTTCCAAACTTTATTTTAAATCCGATTTTTAATTTTTTTCCTTTCTACAAAATCCAGCTCTTAATTTTTCATAATCTAAATCGATTTCCATATCTCAGTCGGTTTCCATATTAGCTTCCCTCTTTTCCTTTTTTTTTAATTAG